GGGGATGCGGGGGATGCGCGGGATGTGTGGGATGTGTGGGATGCGGGGGATGTGTGGGATGCGGGAATGTGCGGGATGCGCGGCACGTCCCGCAGAGGGGAGCGGGCAGCAGCCGGCAGGTGCGGCAGCGCGGGGAGCCCGGCCAGGCTCCTGCCCGTCTCACCGGGGTTAGTACTGTGCTGCCGCCTCTCCGTGCCAGCCCTCCTCGTGTCAGACATCCAGAGGGACCTGTGCAGGTGTGAGAGGTGTGCACTCGCAGCGCAGAGACACGGATGTGTCCTGGGCTGCACCAAGAGAAACGTGGCCAGCAGGTCGAGGGAGGTGATCCTGCCCCTCTGGTGAGACTCCATCTGGAGTGCTGCATCCAGGTCTGGGACCCTCAGTACATGAATGACATGGACCTGTTGGAGCAGGTCCAAGATGACAGTGATGAAGATAATCAGAGGGCTGGAGTATCTGTCCTGTGAAGAGAAGCTGAGAGAATTGGGGTTGTTAGCCTGGAGAAGAGAAGGCTCCACTGAGATCTTATAGTCCCTTCCAGTACCTAGTAGGAGACTACAGGAAAGCTGGAGAGGGACTTTTCACAAAGGCATGTAGTGATTGGACAAAGGGGAAAGGCTTTAAAATGAAGGAGGTCAGGGTTAGATTAGATATTAGGAAGAAATTGTTCACAGTGAGGGTGGTGAGACACTGCCACAGGTTGCCCAAAGACACTGTGGTTGCCCCATCCCTAGCAGCATTCAAGGCCAGGCTTTGAGCAACCTGATCTACTGGAACATGTCCCTGCCTATGGCAGGGGGCTTGGAATTAGATGATCTTGAAGGTCCTTTCCAACCCAAACCACCCTGTGATTTTATAATTCTGTCATGTCAGTCTGGTTCCCTTAGTAGAAAGCACCCCACCCAGATCCAAGAGTTTGTGAGCTCTTAAACACCAGCTTCCTTGCCCATCCACCTGTCCACTCATGCCCTGCCACCCCATCCCCCTTCCACAAAGTGCTTGTTTCTTTGGTGAGAAAGCTCATGGGTATCTCTGAGGAAAGTTTTCTCACCCAAACCGCTGTGCACCTTTCTCAGCGTTCCTTGTGAGAGCTGATATGCCCTGAGTAGTGATCTACTGTTGATAAGTGATACGGGCAGGTCTAGGGGTGTGCATAGGAGAGAATGGCAAAAGAGTAAAATTTTCTGGGTCTTCACGGGAGTGGATGGGAGGAGGGGGCCATCAGGTGCATGCAGATACAGAGAAGCAGAAGGCAGCAGGCTTGCCCAAAGGTTATTTTCAAGAACAGGTTCAAACAGGCTACAGTGTCACCTGGAATCTCCCACCTAGCCAAGCTGCCGGATCTAGATGTTCACATGGCAGCAAACTCTTTCTGGTTGCAGTAGGGATAGTTCTTGTAGACATATGCCAGATTTTGGGGTGGATACCAGTGCAGTTCCTTGGTCTCACAGGCAGGGTCACAAGGCGAGGGTAAGAGATGGGACACTCAAGTTGGAAAAGCTGCTGATGGGGAGAGGGGCAGCCTGAGTGATGCTGTGAGGCATCTCCAGCTGGTGCAGCTTGTGAGCCAGTGTCTGGTACCCTCCCTGCTCAGCTGTGTCACACAGGGACTGGCTGTGGGGGCACTGGGAAGTGGGAGACAAGCTCACACTTTCACACTCACTGTTGGAGACTGCCAGCAGCAGCTTTGCTCAAGCAGTGAGTGCAGGTGAAGGGCTCTTCCAGCTGCTCCTCAGCCACGTGGCATTTCAGCAATGCACAGCAAGGGAAAAAAAAAAGAAAAAAAAAGCAGAGACTTTGCCAGGCCTTGATCTCTGTGTGAGACAGGCCAGGCCGCCAAGCAGCACACAGCAGAAATCCCTTCTGGCAGAAGTGCCTTCAAACTCAGCAGCAGCCTGCATAAAGCCAGGGAACGTGTCATTTCTGCTTGGTCTAGGCCCCACATGGGCAGAAGTCTAAAGAGAAATGTAGCCACGCAGCAGACATCTAATAGGTCTGCTGGTCCTTAGAGACAAAAAAGCATTCTAAGCCAGTAACTTTGTACCATGCTGGTGCTCTTGAGTAACAAGAGCTGGCTGTTGCACAAGCCCTGTGCACAGACGTGGAGTCCACAGGCTGTAAAAGATTCATCTAACCACAGAATCACAGACTAGTTTGGGCTTGAAGGGACCTTTAAAGGTCACCTACTCTTCCCAGCCTCTTCTGCTGCCTGGCCAGAGATGATCAGCGATCCTGGTACAGCAGAGTGACAGCTGCTGTTACAGGATAACCTGAGGGCACCACAACTTACTGAAGCAAAAATCTGCATTACCACCTTTCCGTGTCTCAGGTGTACCCCCCCCTCCCCATTTACAGGCACTGTGGAAGGGCCAGGCAAAGGTACCCAGGAACAGCCAGGCTGTGATGGAGAGGAGACAAGTGCAGAGCAGTGCTGCTCATCCCTTCCCAGCTCTTGAAACACATGTGAGCTCTCTCTCCAAGGGTAGTAACAGCAGTAGCCAAAAGCCTGAACTTTGCTTCCAGAAGGAATCAGCTGTTGAGCTGAGCAAATTGTGATGCTGTGCAGGGTGGGTGGAAGAAGGGAGGGAGGAAGGGAGGGAAGAAGGGTGAGAGGGAGGGAGAGCCAAGCCTGACACGGGCCGGAGCAGGAGGGGAGGCACTCACAAAGGCCTTGGAGGCAGGATGGAAAAGACAGTAATTACATAAGAGCACTTGGCGAGCATCTGTCTGGAGTCAGCTGGGCCCTGCCGGCCCTCCCTCCTGCACTGCTAACCAGGAGCAGCTGAGGATACAGGATACAGATAACTCAGCGTGGGACCCCTGCAGAGGGGAGTGGAGGTAAGAGGTGCTCCGCTTCCCCTCCCAGCTTGCCATGCCCTTGAAGATTAGGGACAGAGGAGTGGGGAGCACGGGGAAGGAAAGGCAGCTGTGGTGGAGGAGGAGAAGCAGTCAGGAAGGGGAAGAGAAGGGGCTCTGCCTCTTGGTGAAAATGATACCTTAGCTCTGGAGGTTTGGTGAGGGAGGAGCTGTGAGGGCTGAGAGAGTGAGTGTGTGTGTGTGTGTGTGTGTGTGTGTGTGGGTGTGGGTGTGTGTGGGTGTGTGTGTGTGTGTGTGTGTGTGTGTAAGTAACAGGACAGATGATTCACATGTGCCACAGTGGAGCTGAGCTGTACACAGGGGCTACAGAGGTCAGAAAACATCAATTTCCTTCTCCATACCTCTGGTAGAGAGGGGCAATAGTATAGATGCAGCCACTGAGGTAGAGACAGTCTTTGTCCCCCTACTTTGTCAGTGTTGGGGTGGGTATAGGAAAAGAGAGGAAATGGAGGAGGAGGAAACAGCTGCTTTTGAGCAGGGATAGTTGCAGTATGATTTGGACAGTGCTTCCCTGGGCTGCCTCCAAGGCAAAGTGTGTGATGAGGGAGAGCAAAGATCGTTGGGCACACAAGGTGCCCTCAGGCTTGAACTGCATTTTAAAATATGGCTGGCACAGGTTTACTGGATAGAATTCTCAAAATCTCCTACAAATGTGGCTGCCCTGGCAAAATATTGCTGGTACACACTGTTCCCTTCAGGGAGCAGGGCAATATCACCCTAACAAATGTATCTTTACTGGCATAAACTTCTGCCCAGCTGGGCAATGCCACCAGAGCACATCTTTTTTTTTCTGGCTCTTGGCACGTCCCTATTCAGCCCAGATGAGACATTAAATATAAAGTCCTGCTTCCTCCCCACTGTGAGCTGTTCTTGCAGTCAGATGAGGCACAGGCAAAGGCCCCAGCTGATGAGGTCCCCTGCGAAGAACATCTGCTTGGCTGTGCGCAGCTCAGGAGCGCAGATGGAAATGTGGGATGGAAATGAGGACAATGGCCTCCCTGCTACCTGTTTCCCTTGGAAGGGTGGAAGAGGCCAGGCAAAAGGCCAAGAACTGCAAAAGTGGGTAGTGTCATGTTTGGAAATAAGCCAGGCAGGAAAACCTGAGAGAGGCACTGCAGGAGCCTTTTTGGGACAGAGAAAAGCTTTGTCTTCAGTATCAGTCTCGAAGTTTTCATGCACCCCAGAAAATTTACTTGCCTAAAATAGTACTGTCAGCTGCCAAAATTCCCACCAGCAGCAGCCAGGAGTAGACAACATGACTGATCACAAAAACCCTCTTCTGTCAGCTGCTAAGGCTCCATTAGCAAGAAGTATTTCCCTAGCCTTCCCCCCCTGCTCTCAAAAGGGGAAACTGAGGCACAGATGAACATGGGCAACTTGCAGTGGACTTCATTGTACATCAGTGCTGGAGCCCTTTGAGGAGCTCACGCACTCAGCAGTGAATTTCTCCGTCCTCTTCCTGCCCCAGCTGGAAGGCACGTTCACTCCATGTTCATTGAGCTCCAGGCTGACAGGCAGCCTGAGAATATCTCCAGGCCTCCCAGCCCCCATTCCTCCCTTCCCCCCACAGCTCACAGTACATATTTTCCCAGAGTTTTCCGCTTGCTTCTCCAGTGGTTCTGGGGTCCTGCCAAACGCCAGCCACTCTCTGGGAAGCGGGGCCTCCCATTCCTAAACCAAACAAATGGGAGAAGGGAAACAGGGAAAGAAAAAAGCGCCCAGCACACACAGACACGCTCAAAACCTTATTCCCTTCAGAAACCTTGGAGCCTTCTGCAGCTCCTACTGGAAATTGCAGGAGGCACACCGCTGACTTGGCATTTCTGACTCCTGCAGAGCAGACAAGTTGTCCATCCTTCCTTCTGCCTCCCGAAGATCTGTACCTGTACACCCCCCCCACATACCCAGGGTATAAATACCCAGGTCAGTTTTGGTACAGGGTAGAATCTTCTAATCCTCTTCCCAACAGACTCCACAGTGTGAGAAAAATCTCCCATCTCTCACACCCTGCGTTCTTCTCCCCCCCAAAATGCCCTTCATTCCAACGTTCTGGTGCAGCCACATTGTGCATACCCCAAAGGCACAAGCTTGTCAGCTTGGCGCCAAGCTGGGGACAATGGTCAGAGCCAGGGTTTGTTTCCAGATCCCCAGTTTTGCTGGCAGGCAGCTCCCAGCAGCCAGGCTCTGCTTCAGACCAGGCACACCCCTCCCATCCAAAATGCTCGGGACCTAAACAGGGGACATGACCGGGGGATGACACGTGCTGGAGCACAAGGCTTGGGGCTCTGCCCAGGCAGAGGGGATGACCAGAGAGGGAAAAAAACTGATGCCTCTCCCAGTTGGCAGCTGCTCCTGCTAGAAATATCATGCCTGGGGCAGGAGGCCACAGTGACGTGCAGGAAAAACAATGCAGGAAAGAATGAAAGATGAAGTTTGGGGACTATGAGTGGGTCAGGCACAGCTGGGGAGAGAGTGTGATCAAGTGAAGGACTCAAGCATGGGACAAGGGACTGTCCCATGTGCCAAGGACTGAGGGCAGATTCCTGTAGCATCCTGCCTGAAGGGAAGTCTGTCTCTTGCACCAGTGCACCTTACCTTGTCCATCCTGAGATGCCAAGGGTGGCACACTGCCCCGCTGCTGTCCACCCCTTGCACAGGGCACAGTCTGTGCTGACTGCATTTTTTGCTGGCTGGAAGTGAAAAGGCAGAGAATAAAACCAAACCAACAACACGTACAAGGAAAAGGCACTTCCTAGGAAAGAGTTAAAAAGACGCTGAAACCCAAGCCGGTTTAGGATGGAGAGCACCCAAAGCCAGGGAGGGAGAAAGAGGGAGAGGAGAGGGGAGGGAGCCGGTCCAAGCCTAGCTTGCGCACCCAGCCAGCGCTGAGCAGTGCCTGTGCCAAGAGCCGGCTTCCTTAAAGCCATGGGGGCCTGCCCTGCAGGCAGAGGGGAGCCGGCGAGCAGGGGCTGGGGAGCGAGGAGGGGAGCCTTGGGCCCCGGAGGTGAGCGGGCGCGCTGTGCCGGGGGGCAGGCAGCAGGATGGGGGGCAGGCAGCAGGACGGGGGGCAGGCAGCAGGATGGAGGGCAGGCAGCAGGACGGGGGGCAGGCAGCAGGATGGGGCACAGGCTGCGAGAGGGGCTTTCTCAGCTGCTCGGCGTGGCTGTCTTTCGTCAGCGTACTTCTCCGCAAGCCGCAGAGCTTCACCTCCTCCACCGTCGGCAGCGAAGCAGCTCCCCTCGGGTCTGCCCAAAGGCTGAGCCGGGGAGCTGGGAGTGCCCTTGGGGTGCTGGGGTTTGCCTGAGAGCCCACTGGGCGTGGGTGGGAGGGGACCGAGCCGGCGGGACGGGTGGGATTCGGTGGGGGAACGGAGGGGGCTGAAGTTAAGTTCCCGGCCCACAGGAGAAGAGGCATTTCTGCCGAGAGATGTGGGCCAGGCTCCATCTGGGACATGGGGATTTTGGGCTTAGATTCCTATAAAGAGTTGATACGCAGTGATAGGAGGGCTGGGGATATTTTTTACAGTGCTTCTCACAGACTGAGCAGCCTACCAGAGCATGCTTTTGCTAAAGAACTGTTGAGGATGGACTCGATGACCCTAGAGGTCTTTTTCAGTCTTAACAAATCTATGATTCTGTCTCCTTCCTCTATCCCAGCCTGGAGACTGAATATTCTAGTGGCTTTAATGGTTTGCCTAGTCAGCATCAAGCCTTCTCCCAGGGTCAGCACCGAGTCTCCACTGGCCTGGGCACAAGGGCGTGGGGCACCCTCTTGGGCCATGCGGTTGCTGCTCAGATTGCAGCCTTGAACAAGCATGTAAGCTCCCTCCACAGGGCAATGCCATTTCATCCCACCCCTGGCTCCAACCACAGAAAGATGTTTTATTGTGATCTCTGTTCCAATCCCTTATGTTCTCCCCCTTCCTGTACCTCACTCTTGGCACTTCCTCCTATCTTCCCAGGTCACCATGGACATAACCTACCTGCGCACATCCCTGACCTTCCTTTTTCTCCCTCTTGTTGTGTTTGGGGCACCCGCTGATGAACCCAACCTCACAGAACCAGGCCCTGGTGCTTGCAAGCGCTGTTGTGACTCACTGGACTCTTCCACAGATACCCCACCAGTCCCTCCCAGCCACCACCACTTTCCCTACCCAGTGCCAGAGGTCCGTCCCTATATCAACATCACCATTCTGAAGGGTAAGTCTTTGCCCTGGGATGCCAAGACCGGCTCAGGGACTGATGGCATTGCAGTGGAGGTGACAGCTGGATTGCTGGCATGCTGGTTGTGCCATCCTGGAGGATAAGTGACCACACTCCCTGTGCCCAGGGTTTAGATGTTTTGTGCTGTGATGAAGAGTAGCCTGGGGGGATGGAAGTCAGTGAGTACATCTGCTGTGATCTCTGTGTCTCAGGATGCTGCCTGCTACTAACTCTTCCTCCTTGCTAACACAGGAGTGGCACTGACAGCCTCTTGCCAAGCTGGGAGGACACATTCCTTGTCTCAGACTCACTGTAGTGCCCGAGGGAAGGAACAGTCCTTATCATCTGCAAAATAAGCATGTTTGGAGAACATTGGCACCCAGGGAGGTTGTGGGGAAACCTTCTCCAGCTCTGTGGGTCACATTTGGGAGAGGGAGGAGGACAAAGGGAAGCAGCAGTTATTTGCGAGCACCTCCGGGTTCAACTGGAGCTCATTCCACCCTTCAGTGGCTGGCTTGGCTAACGGGAAAGGGTTCCCTATTTTAGATCAGCTCCTCCCTTCAGGACTCCCCTTTTAGCCTTTGCTGTGGGCAAAAGCCTGTTCCCAGCTGGATGCTGCCACACACTTCTTGTAGCTCTGTGGTTTGTCTGGGTTAACTCGGCGGATGCTCTGCCTGGAAGTAGCTGCAGTCCATCAAAGCTCAGAAGGGCAGATAGAGGCCTAGACTAGAGTGGGGTGTCACAGGGGGACCTTCAATACCATGCAGTGGATGGAGAGGAGGAAAAGAACAAGATACAGATTTTGAATGCTGTCACTGGAGGCTGCTCTGAGTCCCATTTCTTCTCTGTATACACAAAGTACATTCTGGTGCTGGTCTCTCTCAGTATTGATGCCTGCCCAGGTGTGTGATGGGCAGTGCACACAGCCCAGGTCAGAACTGCAGTACAGGATGCTCAAAGCATTCCAGTGTTGTGAAAGTACCATCCCTCTAAGTTGCAGTGCTGCCTCTGCCCAGTCCAGCTTGGATCTTTTCCCTCTGACCCACCCTATTGTTCTTCCCTAATCATATTGCACCCCAGGTGTTAGCAGTTCTTCCCCTTCTCCAGCCTACAGCAAGGCCAGTGTGCATCCTGTGTGGATAATTGGGTCACAGGAGATGTGTGTGGGAGGGCAAGGCTGCGCTGGAGGGAAAGGAATGTGGGGGAGGAAGAAGAGGTCAAGTGGTACTTTGGACTGCTGGGCTCCCTCTGAGGCTGAAGTCTCCTAGGGAGAGGTCCTGGTGCCTCCAGCAGAACCGTATCATTTGGTGAGCAGGGGATTCATTGGGGAAGTCACTCCCAGAGCTCCTTTCCCATGAGGAGCAGAGGTATTGAGACCCTCAAAGTGTTCCTTCTGTCATTGCCCCATTTGTGTGCAATCCTCTGCCTCCTCATGAGGCCTTCTCACCACCACTTCCACATCTTCTGGTATCACACCGAGTTGTGTCCTCTGCTTCCTCCTGCAGGAGAGAAAGGAGATCGGGGAGAGCCTGGGATGCCAGGGAAATGGGGCAAAGAAGGACCACGAGGCGAGCGGGGCGCCCAGGGCCAGAAAGGCAGTAAAGGACAGATGGGCACAGCGGGAGACCCCTGCAAGCATCAGTACGCTGCATTCTCCGTCGGTCGCAAGAAAGCGCTGCACAGCAGCGAGGGCTTCCAGGTCTTGATCTTTGACACCGTCTTCGTCAACCTCTACAGCCACTTCGACATGTTCAATGGCAAGTTCTACTGCTCAGTGGGTGGACTTTACTATTTCAGCCTCAATGTCCACACCTGGAACTTCAAGGAGACCTACATGCACATCATGCACAACGAAGAAGAGGCGGTCATCCTGTATGCCCAACCCAGCGACCGCAGCATCATGCAGAGCCAGAGCCTGATGCTGGAGCTCCAGGAGAATGATGAGATCTGGGTGAGGCTCTACAGGCGGGAGCGACTGCCCGTAACCACTGCAAATCACTTGGAAATGGGCCTGTCAAATCTCAGGCACTGAGTGTGAAACTTGTCATGCTGACTCCCACCTCACGTTCTCTTGTAGCCAGGCCTGTATCTGTCCACTTTCCATCATGGCATTACCACCTCTTGCCCCTCACCTCATAACCCCACCTTAGGTTATTGGCTTCTTCTCAAACTGCCAGCAAGCTCCCTCTGGCATTTAGGTTTCTAGAGCAAGAGGAAAGCTAAACTGCTGCTCCTGGGCCTGTGTCTCTCTTTGGGGCTTCATACATAAAGGTCTCCTGTGGAAAGGACTAGAAAGTCCCCACTGCCAAGGTACATCCTGGCTCCTCTCCATCCTAACTAGACATACCAATTTTGCAGCCTCAAACAAGGTCTTAATGTCACCTCTGGTATCTGAATTCTGGAGAGGGGACTGGGGTCTGATGGTCTCCTGTAGTACAAGGAAGATGTAGGAGCACTGAGAGAGGATATTGTCTTTCCAAAAAGGGAGCTGTTGGCCTTCTAAACTGGCTTTCCATTGACATCCTTCTCTGTCACAGAGTCCAGGCTGACTGTCAAACCTAGACCTGGTGGGATTTTCCTCCTCTGTGCCAGCTCTAGTTCTTCAAAGAGATGAAGGGCCAGACAGCTGGCCAGACCCTTCATGGGCATCTGCCCATGATTCAGTAGAGGCAACTATTCTGTTCCCACTACTGATCGCCAGTACAGAATGAGAGAGAGAGAGAGAGAAAACCTTGAAGCCCCCCTCCCACACCTCCCCTGGGGCGCTACTCAGTCTTGGCTCATCAGCTATGGGAAGCTAGTCCAGAGAGCAAACCCAAATCTGCTCTCCTTTGGCAGAGGTGCCATTTCATTGTCCTCCTGAAGGTGGTTCTCCCACACTGGTGTTGAAGGACCACTGTTTCAGGGCCTGAGCTCGAGGCTGTAGAGGCAATTGCAGTTCAGTCAATTCCAAACCTGAGCAGGCTGTCACTTCTTCGCCTCTGTGGTGGAACAGAGATAGAGGTGCGACCACAGCACCTTGTCCAAGGGTTAAAAGCTTCCCTGCCGTATCCTCCATGCCCTTTTCTGGCAATCTCATCAGAGTAACTGAGAAAAGCATGTGACTAAAACAAACCCTGGCTCTTTTTGTCAGGTTGGAGATGTCGCAGTGAGAAAGGAATGCCAGTGGTAGGGTTTTCTAGTACTATTTATATTGGTCTCACCCTGCTCCCACTCACATCCCTCTGGAGGGGATGCTGCAGTCCTGGGGGGAGCAGGTGAGGCTGGCTCAGCACTTTAGGAAACCTACTTCCACATGTTGTGATGCTCCCACAAACAGCAGTGCCAAGACTTGTCTCTTTTTTGAGTCTCAGGGCAGGACAAGCAGGAGAAATGCAGGTATCTCTCCTCTGCTCATCACTTGATCATGAAATCTTCGGACTTAACCGGGTTCTGCTGTCCCCTGATTAGCTACAGTCTCTGCCTATAGCACCTGGGACTGCCAGGGCTCTTCCAGAAGAGATGTGCATCATTATACAAGATTAGGTTTGGTACACACAGCCCAGGATAGTATAGGAACAGGGACCAAGGCTAAATATTAAAACTGACCTTGAAAAAATGACAGGGCATTTTCTCTCTTATCCTCTTTACTTACTCTCCATGCTTTTCTAAGGAAGCTGTACAGACTGTAGTGAGTCTTAGGAAATTTGCTCTGGATCCTCCCCACTACTGTCAATGAGGCAATGGGTGTAAAAAACAATGTTTCACTAAGGCGAGGCTGATTTTTTCACAGGGAAACATGTGATGAAGGGATCATGGAAACTAAAGGAGACTGTGAGTTTCTTCCTCTCCCTTAGCAGGTGCAGTGTGTGGAATTGCTCAGAGGCAGGATTTCAGATAGCAGAGGAAGCAGAAAGCTGCAGGTGATGCTCAGGACCGAATCCCTTTCTCTCTTCCCCAACAGGCTGCAAACCCTGATATAGTCTATTTACAGTGTATAGTGCCCCATGCCTCCCTGAAGAGAAGCAAGCCTCTCTAACACTGAATATCTCCATAAGCAAGCTTCCTTCTTTCTCCTTTCCTATTTGGTGATTGAATGTTGGTGACAGGTCTCCTGTGCTATCCATGAGCAGCCAGAGGGTGCCTGATGCATGTGAGAGGAGGGCAGGGGGACCAAAGGGTGTGTTTAACAGGCTTCTGGTGCTAAACAAGATGGCATTCCCTTGGTGCTAAATCAGATTTCAGGAGTATTGGGTGCTTTCTGGAAAGTGTAGTAGGCTGAGTTGTGATGTACTCTGGAATTAATGGTGCTTTATGTAACAAAACCAAACAAACTCCAAGAACTTTTGTATATATATATTTTTTCAGTGGTATTAAACTTTTTTTCCTTGGTTGTTTTGCACTTAAATCTGTTTTTCTCTCCCATCCTATTCCTTCTAGCCCTGGTTATTGCTGAATGATGTGATGGAAAAGACACTGACCTGTAATTGTAAAGGTACAAAGTCTAACTCAGCTCTGAAACTTCCCTGGGTAATCCTTGGCAATCTTGTGTCTGTTTCCTTTGCAAAGAACAATTACCTTAAAATATTTACTGCTTGAACACTTCTAATTGTGACAACCCTTTTTCTGGAAAAGCTTGCAGCAAATTCATAAAAGGATTCTTTGGAGATTACAAAAAAAAAAAAAAGAAATCCCAGGACAATACAATGGGTTGTAGGAGTAGGCTTCAAATTGAAGAAGGCTGGGTTAATGTCAGAGTTCTCTTAAGGGAGATCAGATCCCTTGATCTTATGAAATTTTTAGCACATTCTTCTATCAAGTACTTGGTAAGCACAAGTGTTTTCTGTTTTCCCTATGATATTTCTCTTTTCCCTGCCAAGATCTGAAGGCCAGGAAATACAGTGTAGGAGGGATAGTAAACTGTTGACTGGACACTTGTGCTTCCTAATATTGGATTGAGTGGGAGTTCCAGAGTTAAGCTGGACATGCATATTTGGAATGCATGTGTGTGATGAGAAAGGCCTGAGAGTCAGGTCAGAGGTGCAAAGACAAGTGGTAATTGCTCATGGAGGGGAGGGAGAAGGGAAGACATGAGCAGGGACTGGAGACTTGTGAGCTTGAGTGAAAGATCTAGAAGGAGTAGAATCCTAATGACAGGGACATGCCTTCTGGGGTCTCAGTCCAAGTCAAAGAGGTACATGGGGTTTTGTTTATCATCTTTGGACTGAGAGGATTCCTGCTGAGGTAGAAGGATAGGCAAAAAACAAGATGAGGTGCCCATATAGGACCTTCTGTTTTGAGTTTAATTTGCCTTCACATAGTTTCTCCTGTGGTTTGATGTGTACCAGACACTTCATTTGGCAAAGGTTGGAATACATAATCATACACATCCCTACAGGCCTCTTTGGTCCTGTGTCAGGCCCAGGGCAGGGGCTATATATATCTTAGTAAATGCAATACTCTGTCAGGTCAGAGCCCAGCCTTCTTCTCATTTTTTATTTACTTCAGAGGAAGCAGATAAAAATGTGTCCTCAGGAAGTGTAGCAGTTGTGTTTGTGCATGTTCCTGCTCCTTGAGGTGAAATGCTGGCCGATTGGAAGTGACTTTGCCACACTTAGAAAAGGTGAGGAAAGGAGGGAGAGAGAGAGAGGGAGGGAGGAGGGGGGGACTGGAAATGTGTGTCCAGATCTTCAAGAAAAGTTCTCTATGATTCAACCTTTCAGACTGCCACCTGAAGTCTCCTTAGGGGGCTCAGATGCATGGTGACAGGCAGGTTTGTAGCTGGTGCCACCCATCAGCCATGGATGCCTGACCTGTAGGTGAGGCTCAGCTCAGGCAAGGTGGACCCTGCAATGCTTTGAAGGAACAAGGTCTAGAATGGGTCAGATCAGCCCTGCTGCCCTGCCAGTGAGTGCACTCGTGCCTGGAAGGCCATGAGATCATTCATTCATTCATTCATTCATTCGTTCACCCCAGGTCTGTGGTTTATTCCATGCAATGGAGCTGCCCTGTGGAACGGTATTCAGGGGTTGGTGACAGCCAGTATCTCTCTCCTGGGCAAAGCAGGTGTGCAGCTACAGCACCACCCCTGGAGCTGTGCCTATATTTCCCCCTGAAAGAGTGGTCCAAACTCTGCTGCAAAGGGCTCTGTGGACATGTCTGAAGTTTGTTCAAGGCATCTGTCACAGGGCTGTTCCTGAGATCTGCCTTCCTGCAGGTCCCTGCTCTTGCAGGTATGAAAGGGAGGGAGTGGGAGGGAGGATGTGAAGGGCAGGACATGGTGCTGTCTCTGGGAAAGGAAGCACGTGCCAGGGACAAGTCAGGAGAAGCTGAAGGCCCTGCAATAGCTCCTTGCCCTGTGGTAGCTGTGGGAAAGGGGAAGAGAGAAGCAGGGCAAGAAAAGTATGAAGGAGACCTTTGATCCTGCAGGTGGGCACAGGTGGATGTGCCTGCGCCCAAAACACCAGCAAGAGCAGGGACAAAAGAAAGCAGGACCTGGCTCCACATCCCCTCAGAGCCTTTGTCACAGGAGGGGCAGTCACAGGAATTGTCTCTGGCCTTGCCTCAGCTGCCAGCTGTGCTGCAAATCTGCCCCACACCAGTGCACTATTCAGGGGCTGCCACGCTGTACTGTAGCAGGTTTCTGCTCTGCTGCAGCCTGCTGTCCCTCCTCTCCCCAACCACCCAGACCACCTGCTGCACTCACACCTCAGCCTTGTTTATCTCCCAGAGTCCAGAGAGGGAGAGGGGGTGATGCAACACCCCCACCAGCATCGCCCAGTGCCACAAGCAGAGCTGCACCTCCCTCCATCCCTGATTGCAGCCAGCAGTGGATTCAGATCTCCTTTTCCTCAGCTTCCCATTGCTGGCTGGGAGCTGCCATAGGATTTGAAGAGCTGGGTGTGGACCCTGCTCACAGCTATTTGGGTGCTGGGACACAGCTGTATTTGAGGGCAATTGTTCCACTGCCTCGTGTGGTGTGTGGCCCTTCTCTGACCACGGTGGCACAGCAGGCGCTTGCCCAGTCACGCCAGGCTTCAGTGGCTCGCTCGG